CCTCAGCCTAAGGAACGCTGGTGTGGGCGCTTGAAGCACGTGGTGCGGAGAATCCAGCAGTGCCTGTGCCAGCGAGTAGTCAGGCCCTCCGGCTGGCCATGACGGGTCCGTGCCCATTACGACCACCAGTGTGTGCATACTTGCTCCCATTCCATGGTGCTGCACGGCCTCTGATCCTAATAGAGCTCCTTTTGTAGGTAGTTTGCATATAGGAAAGGAAGGTACTGACAGGGCAACTTGAGTTTGCGTCTAGTCTCTTTGGCAGTTATGGCTCCTTATGAGTTAGTATGTTTGCATCCATGTTCATTTATGAATCTTTAAATATTAATATTTTTCATGGCAGCAGTATTTATTCGGTGCTTGTGAGTCCGCCTAGATTGAAAGTCTCCCTGGGGACAGATCGTTCTGAGGTGCTGCGGTCTCTGGGCCTGTGAAAGCAGAGGCCGGGCCTCGTGATTGCCCGGGGCTACCACCTGTGGCCCCAGCGGGAGCAGGACACCTCCACCTGCTGCTCTTTCACAAACAGCAAAGTCAGGGTTTATGGGGAAGGTCGTGGGTTCAGTGATCATCCAGGAACTCCAGGTTAAATAGAACAGAGAACTCTAATCTGACGTTGGATAGTTCTTGTCCCTCTTGTGAGGGTGAATTAAGCATTCACCTCCCTAAAATTGTTTCCTTATCTTGGGCCCAAGGGACCCTGACTCACCTTGCTGCTGTTGTTACTAATATGCACAGTTTGCATGCATTTACTTCTGTGCATACGTTTACATGCATAATTTATACCATAAGATGCTTTCTCTGTCTGCTCCCCTCCTGTGGGCCTCTCGGGATCGTTCTTCATCGTGCTCTCAGCTCGCTGCCATGCTCTAGTCTCTTACATACTTGGGCTCGGAGGGGGAAGTACTGTGACTATTTCGTGATTCTGAGGAAAGAGAAAAACCATTCAAAAATCTATAGGAGGGAGAAAAGGTGGGGTAGAACTTATGGAGAAATACTGCTATAGGAAATACAAATTCTAAGCTTTAAAGAAAAATGTGTTGGCATGAACCGTGTTTTTAGCCCATGTTGAGTACATACGGGATGCTATCAAAGTGTTTGCATTTTAAGGTTTTAAAACGGAAATTCTGTCCTTAAGTTGGGTCTAGGACAAAGATTACAGGCAGAATAAACCAGTTATAGGAAATTTGATGTACATTCATATTTGTGATGGTTTTTCTACAAAACATGTAATTCGAGTATCCCAGACTTTAGTGACTTGCCGCTCTGTTACTCGTGTCCGGGGCAGTTGTAACTGGAGGCTGTCATTAGCTTGGTGTAGGCACCTGAAGAGTCAGACTCTGGTGGGTGCAGGACCGCGGCATCCACGAGGGTGCCCACCTTGCTCTTGTCATTTCACCGGACCCTGAATGTGCTTCTCCCAAACCTCAGGTGCTCCCGGGCGTCGCAGATGCAGCCACACCCTTTCCAATCCCATCTAAACGAGTCCTAGACTGTGCCACCTTGAGCTTGGAAAATTCTTCTCACTCCTGAAGCCTTATCGATTATTTTGTTGTCCTTCTCACCCTTCTAGCCTTTCCCAGTTATGGTTTCAGTTCAGCTGATTATAAACTGTAGCTTCCTAATGATTTTTCCTTCCGCGGGATTGTCCTTCAATGGTCGTGAATGCCAGGGGAAGTGTTGAAGACCCTTTCTTAGCTTGTGGCCCCGGTTGTGCCTGTGTCTTTTCACGTGGGTGGTTATTTAGCTCTTGGGCGTATTACGGTTCTCGGTCAGGAACTGACTGCCCGTTCTTCAGCGTTCTCGTTTCTCTCGTTGACTCGATCCAAGTTGGCAGTATCGGAGGCTGGAGGTTGAACAGCTTCTTATCCCAGGTCTCTTAGGAGTCCAGAGTCTCTTATGAGCTCTGAGCTCGTAAGCAGTCACGCCCTAGACACGCGGGCCTGCAAAATGGAACTGCTGCCTCACGCCTTTTGTAGCCACGGCTGCCAGTGTTGGGAAACAATCTCAGCGTGGTACAACATTGATAATAGAGCGGATTTGAGAGGCAAATAGTTAAATTCGCTATAAATCCTTTAATTTGAAGTTTTAGAAGGTCATTTGGGTATACCAGTAGACTTGAGTTTAGAAAGGGGCTGACAACATTAAAATAGAATTTTTAAGTGCATCTGGTGCCTATATATACTGATTTCTTTTTTAGTAAGGGAACCCTTTAAGGGAGTTAAAATTGAGGGAAGCAAAAATAATGGTTGCAATTTTTAAATAAGCATTCAATTATAAGTAAAAAGCATTTTTTTTTTATCTGTTACCCTAGTTACCAAGCAGTTTTCCTGTATTTCAAGAGAAAATGGGCTCCATCATTCAAAAGCACTGAAAAGTGCTTTTGGGGTCAGGAGTAGAGAAGAGTACAGGAGGTTTCCCAGAGAAGCAGGACACACTGTGGGAGTAGTCATTTTCACACTGAGTTTCTCAGGGTCCTTCCGCTAAATGGGAACGGTATTGGATCAGAGGGTGAGCAGGTGTTTTCTTGAAGCTGGGATATACTGTAGCCAACCTAATTGGGTAACCAAATTACATCCCAACTTCAGAAGGCCGCTGCAGTTAACATAGGGTGCAGCTGTGTTCGTACGCGGCTTCAAGAACTTTATCTAAAGCAAATGCGAGACATTTCCTGTATTTGCAAACACCAGTCTTATCTCAAAGGAATAAAATCAGGCAAATAGAGAGGCCAAATTTTAAAATCCAAAAAAGCTGGAAGTGGCAATTTCTGAAGGAGATTGTATCTAACCCTGTATTTGAGCCTTTGTCCTTGATAATACTTGAACAGTATGTAGTTTTTATATTTCATGGCCTGGGCTTAGCGGGGGCTCAAATTGTATCCTATCTCGCTAAAAGAGTAGCTTCCTTGGAGAATGGGAAGCTGTTGGATCACACCGGGTGCCTGTGAAGAATTCCGTTGTAAAGGGGAAGAATGGGCGGAGAGTTGTCGTGGAGGGCGGCAGAGTAGGGGGCAGGCACCAGATGCCATGCCAGTAGGCTCCAATGGGGGAAGTAGCATGGAGAGGTGTAGAGTGATGGGGCAGGGCGAGGCCTAGAACCTTCCTGGACATCTGGATTCAGGTCTGTGTTCTAGATCAATAGGAGGAAAGGTGGGGATGGATGTTTCAGAGTTCGTGAGCAGAGTCTTTGACATTTAAAGTCATTATCGTTGACCCGGGGCAGCTTCTTCCTCCGTCCTCCACACGCGAGCTCTTTTCCTGTCACAGAAACACTTTCAGAGGAAGCCGGATTTTCTTCCTGTTCACTGCCATGCTCCTGTCCACTCCACCGAAACCCAGAGGCCACCTTAGCCTCCTCAGTGCCTCTCGCAGACCCCTGGAGCCTGGTGCCTGGTGGTGGTTTGTGCCAGTCCACAGAAGGTCCTGGCCTGTTAACCGAGCACCTCACTTCCTGTACAAGTACTCGTTACTGAATTCGGAGAAACTGATGAAGCAACACACAGAACACAATTTGAGAAACTATTAAAATTTAATGAGAACATTTAACATTACAGATAGTCACTCTCTGAAGTGTAGTAACTACTATTCCACTAAAGCAGCCTGAAGGCTGATGGATATTTCGGGGAGTCGGTGTGGAAGGGCCGCTCTGCTGGCGGTCTTCACTCTGCAGCCGAGGCCGCCCTCAGCAGCCTCCCATGGGCCTCCTCTAGGTATCCCGCAGGTGCGCCGTAGCTAATCCGAGACATTAGGGACGGGATCAGTGATTGTTCAAGGAAAGAGTAAGTCAAGGCAGCAGGAGAAACCCCACTGGCTTCTCTTCAAAAAGCCTGTCCAGGCCCCCTGGTGCCGGGCATGTCTTCATTTTCTTGTCCACACATCACACACAAGTACTTTTCCAACACCCTAAAATCGAGAAACTGAACGCACTCCCATTCTCATGTAGGACAGGCTGATTTTAAGGAGTTTGATAGCCACAAGGATTTTTAGAAGCAAGAGAACAAGATAACCCCTGTGGAATTTTAAAAATGGAGTGAATTCCTTCTGAAAAGCAGTGGTGCGACCCCCTACTGCACCAGTTGCTGTACGTACTTAGCCTTTGTAGAGTCTGTGTGATGTTCTAAGTAGCAAATTTAACAACTCCTTAGAGACTAAGGCTTTTGTAAATCAGGAACAGACTTCCCATTCATTAGCCCATAGGCTCTGTCCAGCATTTTGTGTGTGGTAACGGCTCTGACTCCGTTTCTCCTTTGTCTTTACTTGCAATACTGTTCCTTTGTTATTCTGAACATAGACTTGTGAATTACCACGAGTCCATTTTTAGACTAAGGGTATAAATCTGTTAACAGATATGCCTTAAAAGGCTTATTTTCTGATAATTAAAGAATCTCAACAGCTAGTGCTAGTTCACCACTCATACAGTTGACATGGGGCGGGGGGCGGGGGGGATTCCACTTTCTGTTTGATCCTGCCTGGGCCTCCGGGGACATTTCATGTCGCCCCCAGAAAGGGATGTGGCCGTGCAGAGGACAGGCATGAATTTGGGCCGGCTGATTAATCAGTGCCTCTACCCAAAATAAGTGGTGTCCTAATTGATTCCCTTTCCGGGGAGTTTAGCACTAAGTGGTCCCCGGGGGGCATCTGCGGCTCTTCTGCGTTTGGAAGCCCGGCCGCTTAGCCAGAACTGCTGCCGCGGCTTAGCTTTTCCGCATCCCAAAGCTAAGCAAAGTACTCGAATGCTCTCTTAGCTGCCTGCTGACGTTAATGATTACTTGGATTGATCTTAAAGGCCACTGTAAACACATCATAAAATTGAGCGATCATCCAGCACAGGTCTATGGAGGTCGTTACAGAGCAGACGCGACTGGGATGACGGAGGCGGCTCACGGCCGCGCAAGGGTTTATGAGAACCACGCGGCCCACCGCCAGCTGCCTGTTTGACAAAGACGAGTTGTTTAGTCCCGTTCTGCCATGCCACAACATGATGCGTGTCTGTTCGCCACGAAGGTGGACGTGGGCGTGGTGCACTTCACCCCGCTGGTGCGGCCCAGGATCGAGCAGCCCTTCGAGCTGGTGGAGAAGGTGGTTCAGAATGCGTTTCAGTTCCGGAGGAAGTACTGCTACCGCGGGCTTGGGTAAGAACACCTTCTCTGCCCTTCCCTGGCACCCTTTCTAAAACCCTTAAGCACTTTTAAGGATTAAAAACCTCGTTTTGGGGATTCTTCACGCTATCTGTAAATGTCACTTGCCATGCAGATCCTGAGGTGAGCACACCTTGAGTGCCCCAGAGGGAAAGGCGACGTCCCGCTTTAAGCTCAGAGGCCGCCAGCAGGTTTCGCTTTAGCATCAGCACAAGCTAAAAACACACTCGCGCGGTTGAGAATGACCTTGAGTTCTCGGGGCGGACCACTCGAGCTGTCCTGAGGCTCAGCACTTCCGACCCCGTAGCGTGGTGGTTTTTCCAGCACCAGCAATTCCTCCAGGTCTTTAGGCACCAACTAGTGGTCCTACGGTTCGAGTCTGACATGAACTACCCGGAGTGGCACAGAGTCCACCGGTTAAGGGCTCCGGGGCCACAAGACTGCTCCCACTTCAGCAGCTAGTCACGGGTGTGCGCGCTTACGTGTCTGACCCACAGGTCACGAAATGGGCACTTCTCTGACACCCCCCCACCCCATGCCACTTCAGGTTCACTCTTTCGCTAGAATAGCTCACAGAACTCAAGAAAACATTTTCATTTATCGAGTTATTGTAAGGAATCTAGCGCAGGAACAGCCACATGGAAGAGGTGTAGGGCTTCTCTGGGCTCCTCCCCTCCCAGCACGGAGCTCTCTGAACCCATCATTTAAGGGTCTCTATGGAGGGTCCGTTCGGCAGTTGATTAACTCACTGGCCACTTTCCACCAAGTTGTTGTATCTCTTTCAAGGACACACTTGGAACTAGGAAGCAGGTAGGATGTTGAGACAGCCAGCACGACGTCACGAGGTGTTCCTGCAAGCGTGTTTGTGTGTAGTGGGGGCTCCTGCACTCTGCCGTGCTTCCTGCTCTGTGCACGGCCACCGTCTGGAAACCCAGACAGAAGGCGGTGCGTCAGGGCCCACGCACGTCCAGAGGCCCTGAAATGACCTCGGTGATATTTTCGGCCAAGAAAATGTCTAATTAGGCCCAAGTAAGACAGGAAGCCGTGTGTGATATGTGTTTTTAAAAGGCTGCCATCTAATAATAGCCAAACTCTAGCTGTTAAAGGCATCTGGCTTCCTAGGCACACGTTTCTCATCTTCTGATCCCACCTCCCCTTTATACAAAAGCCCCATCTCTCCGCTCTCTCTCTGGTTCCATGAAGTGTCCCCTTAACCTGAAGTGGAATGACTTTAGGTTCAAGCAGGCAGCCACATCCTGAAACCCCTGCAGCCCACACAAATTCTGGAGGATTTGAGCTGACTGCTGTCAGATCCTTGTCTTGCCATTTGCTGGCTCTAATTAGGCCAGGATTTACACTGGAGCAGAGTCCGTGACGGACGCCACCGGCTGTCTGGGTGCCGGTTGGAAGGATGGCATTACGTAACCGCCCCAGCGGGATGTGCGTTATTTGACGAGTAGAACCCGAGCTGGATTTCGGCTCACGCTCACCCTGCACGCAGGTGGGACTTGCACAGCTGTACACGATGGCCCTGATTCATGGAGGGGGAGAAAAAAAATCACAAAGTACATTCTACTTTTGGAAATCCTGGAATGGGCCTCATAGCTGGCCCCGGTGTTTCCACCTTAAGTGATGGGCCCTTTCGTCTCATATGCACAGTTCTTTGTGCAGAGAGGGACCCCAAATAGGGTGCCCCGCTTAGACCTATGGTGTCCTTCCATCACACACACCCACACAGTGCTCCCCCCCCCCCCTTTGCCAGGAACCTGAACTCCGAGATCACAACTCACCCGACACCATCGGGAACATGCAGTGCACTTCCTTACTGAGAGGACCAGCAGCCTGTACGAAAAACTCCATCTCCACTGGCCATGACCTGTGCGCCCCGTAGAGCCATCAACTCTTGAGAAAAGAATGAAAATCCAGGTGTAGCTTTGCAGCCTTTCAGTCATTCAGTTGTGTTACTCGCTTTAAAACCGTGATCTGCTTGGTTAGATGAAAGTTAAAATACATACTTCAAATCGGTTGCAAAAATGCTGCAAGGTAAATCTAAAAAAGGGAACTGTTTGCATTTTCATGTCACCTATTTTTAAACTTTGTAGAGAAAGGTCATTCCTAGGGGGTGACCAGTCACAAAAGCTAAGAGAATCAAGAAATAAGTTTCTTATTAAAATACAAAGCAAATCTAACATTTCTGTAAGAATACAACTGAGTAGATGTTTCTTTAAACTTAACCTTAAAGGTGCTTGTATTGATTGAGCTTTGGAAGACATTTTTCCTCGTGGACATACCTCCCAGGTCAGATGAGTTCTGCCTTCAGTGGTCCTTTGTACCTGTTGGCTGGTGCCACGATCAAAATCCTTCTCCGTTGGCTTGGGGCCCCGAGGTCACTCCAGCTGCCTCCTCCACTCCCTCCACTTCTCAGTTGTCGAAACAATGTCATTTTCAAATGAGAGTAGAAGGAAACATTCTGATTTACAGAATTCCTTAGTAAAATTTTGATTATTTTCTTTCCTCAGAATGTTATTCCCTGAGGTTGAGCGCGTGGAAAGCACTGGAAAACTGTTAGAACTGGCAGATGTGGACCCTACCCTTCGACCCACCCAGCTCTCGGTTTCACATTTTAAGAGCCTGTGTGACGTTTACCGAAAAATGTGTGATGAAGACCCACTCCTCTTTGCTTATAATTTCAGAGAAGAACTCAAACAAAATAAAAGCAAAAATCAGGAAAAAGAGGATGACAAGGAGAAACACAGACTCTAACAGCAAACCAAATGTTGCTTTCCACAGTGTTGAGCTGCTCAGGTGTGTACTCTCTTGTCTTCTACAGAAGGACAATAAAAATGCGATTACCAGATGCGACTTCCTTCCCTTTTACTGTACAGCTTGGTAGAGAAAATAAATATAATCAAATAAGATACAGTACAAGCTCTCTTTTAATATATATACTGCATAGATATGACATGTTCAGTATAAACAGCATCTGTTACAACCTTACAAAAATGAAATATCTGCACATTGTGCCCCTCACCCCCATTTAAATAAATATGCTTTAAATAAAGCAAAAACTAACAGCTCAAAGGAAATGCCCGGAGGATTGGAAAAAAACAATGACCTTTTAAAAGCTATTAATCACAACTCCCCCATCTGACTTTTTCCACATAAATTAAAATAGATTGCAATTTTAAGGATCCTAAGTCATTTTGATACCTGCTCAAAAGGGATATAAACTAAGTAATTTACAGATTCTGATCAGTTTAATCTAGTTTTCTGATCTACAATAAATTAAAATAACTTAAATCTTTACAACTATTTTGTGGGAAAATGTATGCTGCACAAAACCCAATAATGAGTAGTTTTTTTGCAGTTTCCACGGGGCCACCAGTTTAAAAGTGAAACAAGCAGCGGAGCCCACGTCTGGCCGGAGACTGGACTACAACTGCCCGTGGCCCTCTGTTTCATAAAAACAGTCCTCGGTGACCACCGAGGTTAAACTCTGGAACTGAACTCCCGCTGTAGAACAGAGCCGAGATCGAGGTTGGCATTTTCAGACTGACTGTCGAGGGACTGATGACGAATCTGTGCCTTCAGCAAAGCTCCCCGGTCCCGTTTGGTGCTGTTGGCTTTCCGTTTAATGGCGCAGAAGTGCCCCCGCACCAGCTTGGGCTGCTCCCCCTTGGGTCGGCCCTCCGCGTCGGGCTGGTCGGCTGGCTTGGCATCCGGGGCGTCGGAGATCCGAAGTCTCTGGAACTGAATTTCAATGTCTTTGGTAGGGCTGCCCTGTTGGAGCGTCTGATGGTAGTCGTCCTCGTCGTCGCTCAGAATGTCACTCTCTTTGAGGAGACTGTCCGACAGATCAGCCAGGCCTGGCTGGGGCTGCTGCAGGGAGTCCTGCCTGCTCCCCGCCGGGGGGCACCCGCTGCTCTGCGTGCCGCTGCTCAGGCTGCCCTCGTCGGAGTCCAGCGAGCTGCTGCCCTTGCCGGCCTCGCCGGGCCACTCGCTGCTGGAGGAATTCTTGAGGACTTTTAAGGACCTGGAGGAGGCTGCAATGAGAGAAGGGCGTTTCCCTCGTGATCGAGAAACGGACTGTACAATGCCTAATACTTGCAATGTACATTATAAGATGTATCACCTTAATTAAGATTTCATCGTCCTCTCACTTCTGTTACCAAATCCTGGGACTTGGGTGGGGGGGAATCTAGCAGATACTGCAAGTGTGGAAAGTTTTTACGTAGGTTTATTTGAAATTTACATTGGATGATTTGGAGTTTCTAGATGGCCTATTACCAGAGCTCAATTGTTTAGATAGGACAACAAGCTATAAGCTATTACAAAGGCTAGGATTCTTAGCTACTAATAAAATCTAGGTCCCTTTCTTTCACTAAAGTACTTTGAAATTGGACAACAAAGATTATGCCGTATTTCTACACCTACCTTCTCATCTTATTTCCCTTGCTGCTCCATTAAAAGTAGAAAAATGCCCTTCATCACTCATGAGAACGGTCTCTGCTGGAATTTCTAGCCAACTTCCAGAGTTTAATAGGAACGATTTAATCATTCATGTGTGTTTAATTCTTTTCTCTTGGGTTAAAGGGAAAAGGGGAGCTCTCTGCTGTGATGTGTTTGTGTGTGTAATAACAGTATAGTTTCAATGGCTACAGCTTATTTTGGCAATAGAAAAAAATATATATACAGTGAATTTGAAAGAGGTCACACTGACCAATAAAAAGAAATAATTTAAAGACTACAAACAAGATCAAAGATATTAACAAAACAGTTAATACAGAGAGTTTAAGCTGAAATTTTAAAAGCAGGCAGAAAGTTTAAGGAAAGTATGATTTGGTGACTTAATTGACTGGGTAAGAATAAATATAAGGTTTCTTGATCTTAAGTCGTCAAGTATTGGCTTTCTAGACGCCTTGAGCTCTTCCGAGCTCTGGGAGAACTGCAATAAGCCAAGCTAAGCCCTGGGAGTCCTGCACATCCCGGTGGAAGAAAGAGTAAGATAGTGAAGAGATTCTATCGGCTGCTGGTAAGATGAGGCCTTGGGGTTGGGGGTGGTTATAGTTTATACAAGGTGTGGGAGCAAGAGGCATTTTCAGTTTCTTTTTTTTTTTTTTAAGAGTTTACTTATTTGTCAGCGAGAGGGGGCAGAGAACACAAGTAGGGCGAGCAGCAGAGCAGAGGGAGAAAGCCTTCCCCACTGAGCAGGAGCCTGACACAGGGCTCCATCCCAGGACCTGCGGATCACAACCTGAGCTGAAGGCAGACACTTAACCAAATGAGCCACCGAGGTGTCCCTTAAGTTTCTTAAAAGGAAATAAAATCGCCACCACCTTCACACAGCGCTGTGGATCTGGGTGTCTGCTTCAGGGCTTACAGAGCCCCCTCCCAGCCCCGGTGCTCTACAAAGCGATGACTCACTGCTGCGTCACCAGCACACACAGAGAAGCCCATGATTTCCTGCATAAACACGAAGTTCTCACCTAACTTGGCTGAAACAGGAACTCGGTTCTTAAGGGGGACCAGGCGGTCCTTACAGGTCTTCTCCAGGGGTAGCTCACACTTGATGTGACGCCTGAAGTTTTCCCTCAGAATGGAGCGAATCACCTTGACGATGCTGGTTTTGCTTTCGCTGTCACTGGTGAGGAGGGAAGAGCAAACAGTTAGGTCCCAAGTCACTGTGCTTCGTGTCCGCAGTCCCGGGGATGGACCTGGCGCGTCCCTACAGCGAGTCACCCAGCCTCTGTGTATCTGGTCTCCTCCCTTACGAAAGGCAAAGTGATCATTTTTGAAGCGCCTTTGAGCACTAAGATGGGGATATATGTTTAATCATATTCTACTACAGACATAGCTGCCATTTGGGGGGGAGGCTGGGTGAGAGCCCAAAGTCATCAAAATTCAGGAGAGCACTAAAAATAAACTCCCATTTTTAAGAGAGCGTAATTCTTTTTCCCATTGGCTCTAATTTTTTGGAAGTCAGAAATACCTGCAGCACAGTTGGAAGATGGTTTCTGGCCGTCCTTCTATTTCTGATTTTGTATGGATCAGCTCCCATACAGAATTATTTTCTGTCCCTGTGTGAAAGGAAACAAGGGTCTACAATTTTGCCAAAGATGTCAAGTTCAAAAGTCAAAAACTCCCTGTCCCGAGTCTCCTCATTTTCTTTTGTGTCTCATTCTATGTATGACTTTCACAAATAGTTATCAAAGGACTTCTTAGTTACTTTCTACATTTCCTGGTAGTTTTCCATCCATCTCCGTTTGCTTTCTCCCTAGCCCTGGATTCCAGCTCTCTGGGAAAGAGATTAAATGGATCCTGTTTGTCAACCCCATGCCACTCATTGTATTCTTTGAAAGGAACCGTAGGATGTGCTCGGGTCCTGGAGGTCAAACAGGTCAGCCCAAAGTCAGTCCCGGTTTGGGGAATGTAAGCACTTCAAACAAAAATGAAATGGACCCAGAGCATTGCTGCATGCCTTAGACTGCCGGTCCTTTCTGCCACCAGAGGCATTGTCTCCAGAACATGGTTATTCTAGAAGGACCGCAGCAATTTTCCAAGGTTGAAATTTGTTTTCTAATATCACGTATAATATTGTTTAATATTAAGGAATTTTCTGGTGTATCAGAATTTTTTAAATTTAGGTTTATGGTCCTTGGTTTAACAAATTTTAGGGTATCAGGATATTAGGAAAAAGTGTTGAAAACCACTGATAGCAAAAATAAGGACACAAGAGATACTTGGCAAAGAAAAGCCAAATTTGGCATTTACTTTCTCTAAAAGTTTAAAAAAAAAAAAAACCTCTCTTGACCTTTGCCTATAAAATAAAACTCAGAAATTATTCCCAAGGCTCTTTCCTAGTTTTTCATTCCACAATGCAAATAAGTACCATTATAATGTGTGTTCCTGGGGATGCCTGGGGGGGGCTCAGTTAAAAGCATCTGCCTTTAGCTCAGGTCATGATCCCAGGGTCCTGGGATCGAGTTCTACATCAGGCTCCGTGCTCTGGGGAGCCAGCTTCTCCCTCTGCCTGCCACTCTCCCTGCTGGTGCTCTCTCTGACAAATAAAATCTTAGAAAAAAAGTTTTTTCCTGACATCCTACCACAGGAAACAATTACCTGCTGTATTCCCCAGTCTGACTTGAAGTGCGGATATGGGGATCAACCAGCGAAATTTAAATGGGTCCAAGTCGGCAGAGCTGTGTGCAGGCCGGGAATTCGAGGGCTGTAACAGGAAAGCCCCCAGAGAAAAGTGTTAGAGTAAGCTCTCACCCAGAGACATGTGGAGGGAATCGAAACTTGAAGTTCTTTACAGCTGTGTGAGTGGTCAGGGTGCAGGTCTGCTCCCAGTTCTCGGAGAGCTCAGACTGTTGGGGAAGCGGGGGGAGGTGGGACAGCAGAGCTGCGGTCTGGGGAGCGCAGACGGCTAGACACCAAGCAAGAATGAGAACCAACCCTTCTGTGTCCTCATTCTTTCTGTACAGTAATCACTCTGATGGCTTGTGGTATCCACAGCTAAGCTAAGCTGTTTTTTTTTGTTTTTTTTTTTTGAACTAAGGTAAAAGTCGTTTGAAAACAAAGTTACGTAGTCTCTTACATGTATGGTGCAAACATGGGCCACTTTCAGGGATATGGAAGCTGATTTTCTATGTAGGTCCCAGCACGGGGATTTGTATAAATCTTCTTTTAAAACGGACGTTGTTTGTGGGGAGAATAAGAAACAGCCCGAGGGTCTGGTTTGGTTAGTCACCCCAGGAGTAAGTCCCGTTAGTCTAGTGAACCCCTGCTGCTGAGCGAGCATCTCGCATCAATACTGACAGGACAGAGCCATGAGGAGGTAGCTTTCATGAAATACACTTCTTGTCTTACCAATTTCTTTTTCAGTTTGCAGTTTTCTTTATAAACCAGTATGACAGCTCTCTTAAAAACTAAAGAAAGGAAAAGAAAAAGAAAAGTCTTTTATTATTTGTACAAACTTTCTTCCAAGGTTGAACTAAGACTTAGATTGTTTATTAATAGAACAAAGCTCTTCAAGCTTATGATGCTCCAAGATCCCCCTATACCAGCACAGGAGGGGATAAATGCTGCTCTCCCTCCGATCAGATTGCCAATGATGCAGAAATATCTACTTATTTAAAAGTGATCATCTGAAGGAGGTCTTGGCGATTTTTTAAAAATCCCTGTTTTGTTTTATTGAAATTTGAGGACATGGTGTTCATCTCAATGAGAATACACAGTCTATAATTGGTCTTAGTGAGAATTAAGACATTTTGAAATGCAGCAAACAATTAAGATAGCAGGTTTCAAAATAGCCTCAGGAGATCTGTTTCTGTAACACTTGGCCAGAAACACTAAGCCAAGCAGAAGGGAGAACAAGATAATGAGTATGCAGAGCGACAGCATTTTAAATAGTTGGAGGCTGGCTCTGTTAAGTCAAAAGCCATTACAGCAATGATTCTAACTCCTTCTGAAAACCAAGAGTTAGCTGGACTGGTGGGTCTAGAAAGATCTTCATTTTCACCAGCCTTTTTTAAGTTTACATTCTTTCAAAATGGGCTACTAACCAAACACTGTGAGTTCAAGGTCCTTTCTGGCTTTTCCTAGAGACAGAAATGGATTCAACCAGGAAACTGCAGAGTGCATCAGAAGCTCCCCCATGGAAAGTTCCGTTACCTGTATCATAAAAACGGGAGATGAAGAGAGAGAGATCCCAGGGGCACGCTGTCTCATGTTGGACACTGAATCACATACGTATATATGAGGATTCCAAGTACATTCAAAATAGGATTTTTATGCCCCCCATAAACATAGGGCCTTTAAGTAGTATATAGGTTTTGAAAATATGAGCAAAGCATCGAACTTTGAATAAAATCAGAAATAGAACAGCATTTTGGTTCAGTGTACGTATTATATGTAAATGGACATTGAGGTCCATCCAAAGTGTCTTCATTAATATTGACCTCAGGCTCTAGCACATTCAATCTCCTGATCCATAAACTATACTATGCCTGCAAAGAAAAAAGGACCAACACTGAAACTGTAACAAAAAATTAAACTCCAGTTGTTTTCTGTTCTTGCCTTCTCTACAGAAACTGTTTCCTTATACATAGACTTTAAAAGCTCAAGATTCTAGTTTAGTAATCAACCAGAAAAGAAAAATACAGAAATTGTCAAATTCCACTTCAACTAGTTCTGTAAGTAAGGACGTAGCTGCCGATGTTAGATATCAGGTTCTCTCTACCTGCTAGTTCCCATTGCCTCCCTGTCAGCTCGAGCTCTCCATGTACGAGCCCACCTCTGGGATGAGTCCTGCCTCATGGAAAGGGAGGAGGAGGTAGGGATATAAGCTTAGTGATATTTCTTGTTTACTTTCATACAATGTTAAGGTGAAGTAAGATTACATTCTTAAACCAATACAAGGAATTTTATGTTCCACTGATACTTAAATGGTATGGTTTATTGCAAGCACTAAGATTTAAAAAAAAAAAAAAAAAAGGCATATTCTCCTGTAGGAGGGCCTGAACACAGTGGCCTAGTTTGGAGACCACCTATAGATGCAGCGAACAAATGCCTCCCAGAATCCAGAAGTCCCACTGACCTCCTTCTCTGTTCCACTCTGCTCTGCCACTAGCTGGTCAAACACGGTCCCATAATCCTCGTAGATCTTTTGCATCTCATTGATGTGGCTCGCTACTTTTTCCATTGCCTTTAGTGCTTCTGAAAAATATGAAATCATTTTTATAAATTTTGTTTAAGTCCTACCAAAAGCAATAATGAAAAAGCTCAAGATTCAAGCCAGGATTCAAGACCAGTTCTTACTAACAGAAGCATTACTCAGGTGTGGCTCACACAGCCCACTGTAAGTAGAATGATCTCCCACCTCCAGTTCTCTTTGAAATGAGGCAAAACACAGGTAAAAATTATCACTAATAGTAACAGCTAATGCTGATCGAGCACCTTCAATTTGGCAGGTACTATAACAGGTGGTTTATGTTAATCATCTCATTTCATCCCCACAGCAACTCAGTGACTGGAGGAGCTGTAATTAATCCCACTTCACAGATGAGGAAACTGGGGTGCAGAGGGATTAAGTATTTTCCCAGACTTCTAAAGAGAGAAATGAAGAATAGAGCCAGAACCGAAACCCAAGAGTGACTGGCTATGTGCCTCCCTGTAAATGCTGCCTCTCCTCCCAGGCCAGTGACTGACCTGTGAACCACACAGTTTGTTAGCAAGAACTTACTCATGTCTCCGTAAATGCCCCTAATGGCCAGAGCAGCGTTTGCATTATACACGGTGCTTATTAGTAACTTTCTACTTGGGCATGTGAGGGACAAAAGGACTTTGTCACAGTCAAAAAGCACAATTTCAGGTTACCTATAAATTTAGTATTTTTCGTATTTTGTTCTCCTGATTCGGTATTTTAATTCAGCTTGGAGGCAAGTTTGGAAGGCAATCTGTAACCACTTAAATAAACATCATCTTGGTGAAAAAGGATCTTTTCACATTATTTGCATACTAATGATAATTTGTATCGTTTACTTGTTGAATTTAAGTCACATGTAAAAAATTTGTTGGTCTTTGTTACTTATGATACAAAAGTACATGCTTGTCAGAGAAAAAGAGCCAGTTTAATTAACACTCTTTTCAGTGTTCATTATTCAGTACTACTAAGCATCCCTTTAAGGGATACTCTACGATCAATCTGAAGGGCTCTGTGTATCTGACAAACTATCTCGGGCCAGCAATTTCTGAGGGTGCGGAAGCAGACCGGCCTCCGCCACTGTCGCTGGGGCCGGGCTGCGGGCCTGGGCTCTGCTCTCAAGTCCCCACAAGGTGGAGCCTCACCCAGCGGATCCCGCAGCGGCGCGGGGCAGCCGGCAATACAAAACCTCCCGAAGGGGGGCAGGAAAATGGGCCCCATTCTCCGCAGCACTGTTGTGCTAACCAAGAGACCCAAAGGAACGGATTTCACCTCTCTGAGCCCAAATATGTTCTTTGAAAAATGAAAACGGAATCATCCCTCCAGAGGGGAACAGTGCTCCTCTGATGACATAATTTTGCCCAAGGATCCTGTCATCTAAAGGCTATTTTCACATAGATTCTACCTAAGCTTAAGAACTGCAGGACGGAGGCAGGTCTATGACTGGGAAACGAAGCAGGGAAGAGAAGTGGGGCCTCGCAGGCTCTGCGCGTGGCGGTGGCCGCAGCCCACGCTCTTACCAGTCAGGTGATAGTGCTCCTCGCTCTCGTGGTCCGTCAGCGACACGAGCTCCTTGAGCAGCAGAGGGTACTTGAGCACCCTCTGCACCGGCTTGATGAGGTAGGACTCCAGGGTGGAGGAATGCTGCTTGGTGGGATTCCGGGCATCCAGAAAAGCCTTGAAGGCTTTATCAGTTTTAGCTACAAGCAGGGGGATACAAGACCCTTAGGAGAGCACAGCAGGATAAATGAAACCCTACTTCATTTAGTGTTTAGTGGAGTCCTAGCTCATCCACTTCTGCAGCCCTCCTAATGGCATTTTTTATAAAAACGCAAATGCTTCAGAGGGTCAGGCGCCCAGGTGTCAGCGCGGATTCAGCATCACAGCTCGGGGGCAAGTCCCATGGAAAAGGGGAGTTTACGAGGCTCTCTATATAACAGCACAGTCTCTACACCCAAGAGGAACACCGAGTTGAAATGTAGGAATGTCTGACTTTCAGGGCATATTCACATGCAACCCCGTGAGAGACTGTCAGAGGTGCCTAAAAAGTGAATTTCAACCAATTCATAAAGCCACAAAACAGTATCATCCAGACCCTACACCTATGCTGCAAAAGAATCCTATAGCAAAATAAACTAGTAATTTGCCCCCACTGTCCTCGCACGGACTGTTAATTTTCTATACAGCAGGGACTATCTTGTTTTCTTTTAAAATAAGTTGATAAGCACTGCAGCCTTCTCCGAGGCTTCAGAGACTCCACAGCTCTGACCAGTCTATTCCGCCGGATGTGACCTTCAGACCACCACGGGCAGGGAAAGCCGGCCGTGTCCAGCATCTGACCTTACGACGGGGACACCTGGGAACCCAACCCCGTTCAGTTTTGAGAAAGTGTCAGTGGATGCATCAGTCACTGCTTTGGATTCCACCTGCTGACACTGCTTAACCATCTTCTTGGAATTCAGCCAATTTGAATGAAATTATACCCCTATTTGGGGTTTTGTCACAAAGGCAAAAATCTCTACCTTCTAGGAGATGATGTGCCATTTTGAATGTGACCACCAAAGTGGATGGTGGGATGATCCTTCAGAACGGAGCAAAGCGTTGGTGGGCCTTAATTCTACTGTCAGTAAGAAGGTGTTCCTTGAGGAAGTGCTGGCGGGGGTCAGATCTCTTGTCTAAGCAAGTAGGGAGACAGATTTTGGCTGCTGCTTGTTCCCCTGAAGCACCTCAAGACTCCATTTCTTAACCTTGAACCTGTTCTTCTATGATACTTTAAGGATCGATATTGAAACCAAATGGCAGAGCTGCCTCAGTGGAACCGGCTAAATGCTCTGAGTGCGGGAATAAACCTCGACACGCCTTCTGTGAAGCTGCGGAGACTGCTGCCTGGTTTTGAAAGAGAAACTCTGAAGGGCAACCCTCAGATCCTATTCGTGCCACCTGGAACCGTATCATGACAGAGGAAGGGGTCTGGAATTCAGCTTGGCTGCTACCACCCTGCTGATGCAACTAAAAAAGTACAAGTACCACACATTGGCCACTGTCACTGTCACAAGAGAGCCCGGGTTCCCCGGCTTCCAGAGAGCTGGCAAATCAAAACGATGCATGAGACCCGCTGTCATTCTAAAGAAGGCACTCAAGTCCCAGGGGAAGTCCTTTCCATCCCGCGTTTGTGTCCAGGGCCCCGCTGAATGTGGACGTGGCCAGGAGTGGGCACACAGACTTCCGTCACTCTGAATGCTTCTGAGAGTTCCAAACGGAATGGCCTCCTCCTGGGTGGCAGGCTGAGACCAGGGGTATTCCTCAAAGCTCCCCAGTCCCTGGGGCTTTGGATCCAGACTCTTGGGGACGGAGCCCTCAAAACCCAACCCCAGGTTAGGGTTAGGGACTAGGGGAATGGCAAGCCCTGTCTGCCGGCTTTGATTCGACCTTTATGGAGAGCAGCGTTGAGGGCTTGGATAAGAGTGAGTGCCAGGCTCTGGGTTGTCGTCTACGGGGCTGCTGAATGTCGGGGTGGCTTTAAGGCGGCTTCCAGATTCCTCCTACTCTGAATCCTTTCCGGAGTTCCAAAGACCAGGGTTTCCTTCTGGGTGGCAGGCGGAGTCCTCTGGTAGTGCTCAAGGTCCCCAAACCCGGGGCCTTTGGATCCAGGCTTTTGGGGGCGCACTCCTCAGAACCCAACATACGGTTAGGGTTAGGGCCTAGGGGCATGGCAGGACCAATCTGAAGGCGCAGTGGAGAGCTGGGGGTGTGGGGGTGCTGGGATAAGGGCGGGGATCCGGGTGAGCATCAGGCTCTGGGTTTCCAGCAGGGGCCGCTGAATGTGGGGGTGGCCTCAGGTGGGCCTGCGGATTTCTCCTGCTCTGAAACCTTTCTGAGGAGCCAAACGGCGCGGTTTCCTTGCGGCTGGCAGGCTGCGACACCCAGTATGGCTCCGGTGTCCGCAATCCCTGGGGATCCGAAGCAAGGCCCCTGGGGAAAGTCCTCTCAGAACCCAGCCAAGGGCCAGGGACTAGGAGCTCGGCAGGACTGATGTGCAGAAACGTAGGACATCTTCCCGGCGGAGGCTGTGGCAGGTTCGGGTCAGGCTCCCCCATTCCCGTGAGAGAATGAGGCGGCGGCGGCGGCCCGGTGACCTGCTCTGGGGCCGCGTCAGGCCGACGTAAGGTGCCTTCGGCTGCGGGAGCCGCACAGGCGCCAGGGGCCCCGCGGCCCACGGATCCATGCCGGCACCCCTCACCTTCCCTCATGTCCCCGCCACCAGAAATGAGATGCCGAAGAACGCGCCAGAAACGCTCCTGACAGAGCCAGACTGGAGAGCTTTCCTCTCAGGCGCGTGGCCGCGGAAGCTGCCTCAGCCACAGGACGGCTTCAGGTGAGGCAGCATTCCTGATCCGGTGTGACAGGAGCACACAAGGCCCTTGAGCAGTGGATGGTGACAGTGGCACAAAGCTCCCTACTGAACAAGGTCACGGCTGTCATCAGATCCTCAAATACACCGCGCGGGCTTGGCCGGCTGACTGGCCCGGGACTGAAAGCCCAGGCACTCCGTGCACTTGCCGAAGAAGGCCTCCAGCCCTCCCGCTGCAGCACCGCGCGTGCGCGGCCTCACGCGCGGCGTCTCCCGCGGCCTCTCCCTCTGCGGGCCTGCGCATGCGCAGCCTCTTCTGTCCCGCAGCCTCTCCCCTGGCCCGCAGAGCAGGGTCAGCAGTCCGCACGGAGGGAAGAGGTCCACCCAACGAGTCTATCTGGGCTTCCAGAAAACGAAAGGCTTCAGTGAAAGCCAATGAAAGAAGACGCTGAAAGTGTGGAGAGATGAAAGGTGCTTCAGGGACAGGATGTGGGCTCTTAACTGTTTACCTGGTTCCATCAAAAAGGGAGTGTGGTGGTGGGGTCTGCGGTGGTTCCTCGGGCCGAAGACGGTTAAGGAGAAAGGAAGAAAACAGCATACGTTCTTTCCTATCCCCACCCACCAGCTTAGAGGTCCCGGTTTTTAGATTAGGGAATTTGGCAAAAAAAAAAAATAAGAAAAAAAAATCCAGAGGTAATTTAACAGCAGAGTGACACATAGCTGAGAAACATCTCTGCTCTTAGGACACGTGTTCATTGCTACCAATAAACTGAAATAAACCAGCAATTTTTTCTTCTAATGTCTGTCAATTTAAAGGTCAAGAACAGAGTATGATCCATTAAAACTGCACTTATTTCTACTTATTAAATGCAAATTTACTCTTAATAACTGAAAAAAAAAGGCACAACTATAAAGGTATGAGCAACTTACCTCGCTCCAGAACCTTCTGTACTTTAATATGATTAGCACAGAATCCACTGTAGAGTTTAAAATGGTCCGCGTAATAAAGGAAAGAGCCTCCAAGGGAAAAGAGCAATTTCTAGAAGGGGAGGGAAAAGTCACATTGGACATGGTTTAATCAGTGTCTGCTGGCTCTGAGATGGCATCTGACTACTTTGGTGTATCCATGGCACCTGTCTCTCCGACACCAGGGCACTAATGCCACAGAGAAACCACCAAATGAAATAAACTCAGGACTACCCCCATTTTCACAGCAGACTGAGAACGGCCTGGCACTCCCCTAGCAGACCTTTAGTTTGATTGAATGCTTTCTGGTAGCAGAGCCTACTGACACCACGGGCACAGGACAAGAAAGTTCTACAAAAATAAATCCGACAAAGTGGGATATGAATGATCTGGGAGGGTCATCAATCAAGCCACCTCTGCATGACTCAGGACAGATGCTTTTGTCTGTATCCTGGCCTGTCCGCCTTCTCCTGTCTTGCACCTTTCCTTCCCGGGAGAGGCTCCTCACCACTCACAGATGCCCACATTGGAGACAGGGTTTCATCAAAGAACCGCTGACCTATGCTTTTCATCCCAGCATCACATGACCATGAAGATGCGAGATTAGATGCAGGGTAGGGGCTCCTGCATCGAGCAAACTCCCTACAAATGGTTCAGTAGATCTGAGCAAACAGTGTGGTGGACATGCTCTGCCACCAGGCCAATTCTACATAAGTTGTGCCACCCAGACGTCTGACTACCAGAACCACTCAAAATGAAAACGTGGCCTGCTTTTACTCCCTGCCGGAGGAAAACAGCACAATGAGAGCACTAAGTTTACCTTGTCAATGGGCAAGGGACAGCGATTTCTTTCTCAAGGGAGCGTTCTGCACACCACCCATTTATTTTTGCTTAAAACCAAAGTTCAAAAATACTTACTCTGAACTGTGAGGGAGTCTCAAGGCTGTTAAAGTCCGAGGATGCTGAAATCCCATCCTCCAGAGTTTCCAGAAACACCTTTTGAAATTCAAGCATCTCTGGCAAACTTCCAAAAAGTGACTCCATCTAGTATGAAGGCCGGGATCAGAAAGAGGGTATTAGCAGTGAAGACCCAGAGACCACTCTAACCCCGAGACAGGCAAATCCCAGGCTGTTCACCAAGAAGCAGACAGAAGGACGTCCTTCAAAGAAGGCAGCATATTCACTCCGTGACCTAGTATATACACAGAATTTTTACAGCTCTGGTTCTAGTAATTCTAAAATAACCTTGTAAGTGGATGTAACAATGGATTCAAATGAATGTAAATGGATTCAAATTAGCAAAAAATGGAAGTCAGTAGAAAAGAATTGCTGAGATTTAACATTAACAAGTCATGAACTAAAGAGCGACTTTTGGCCACACCTTCTTTCCAAAAAGGACACTGTCCTGTACGGGTAAACTCTTCTCACTGAGCCTCACATGGCAGAGGCCACATAAAAGGTTTTGGACGAGGCCACACCTGGGTCCCTCTGATGACCCTTTAGTCCTGGATGTTCTTTGGGGATCAGCAGACAGAACCTCCGGGGAGGTCCACTAACGGGCAAACAGACTGACCTGTGTGTCAGGGGACAGGGGAAAGGGACTGATTACCTCATCTTGGGTGAGAAAGGTCTCATTTTGAAGTGGCTCCAAGTATAATTCAAAGAGGCAGCTCAGATCCTGAAAGACAGAAGAAGAGAATCTTTATCACACATGTCTCCGAAAAACCCGAGTTTCCAGCAACCCTAACCACAGTTCTCCCACCAGCAATGATGGATTTCAAGTCTTGATGAAATTCATGACCCTAAAGGTGGTTACAATTATTTCTGACCTAATTCACAGACGCCAGTAGCCAGTGCACTCAGCAGCTGGAACACCCGTCCTGCTTGGTTCGACAGCCTGGTGGCAGAGACCGTGACCAAGTGCAGCATCGTTCACCCCCCTGCAGAGAAGGTGAGCTCTGGCAAGGCCCCCCTGTCGGGAGTGACTACACCGTCCAGCTCACCCTGCCTCCTCCTCTGTCTCAGGGAGCATGGCGACAGCCCCACCGTGGAGCTGAGAGGGACGAGACAAGATCTGGGAAGCTCTTCAACTTTGGAGTTGACGCATTAGCAGAATTTCAAACTCCCGTATTCAGATGCAAGAAAAAGTTTCCAGAGGTTAAGTGCAGTCATGATGTGTACAATCTAGGCCCTGTTTGAGTCTCCGGTAAACTGGGCTCCAGAGTACAGAACAGTGGGAGTGGACAGTGTTCACAAAACTCTTTAGATAATAGGTTTATTTAATAATTTGAAGCCAAGACCAGGATACAATTTTGTAATAGAAAATGGGTTTTTTTTTTCCTTATTTCATTTATTCTAAAGAATTCTGAGAATGAAAATGCTAGACGTGATTGATTACAAAGTCCATTACTTTGCTCCCTCGTTTTACAGTGGAGAAATCTAGACCGGAAGAGCTTTGCCAGAGCCTGAAATCTCCAGGACTTTACGGCACAGGTCCTGGGAGCAAGTGGACAGGCCTGTGATGCCCTTTCCTCTGCAGCAATGAAAAGCTCCCTGGCCTTCCCTCCCTCACCATCCTCCACGGTGACTGCTTCAGAGCAGGGCGATGTGAGGAGTTACTGAACCGTTTATCAGCAAACACACCAGTGCTGCAAATTCCAAGTTGCATGCAGGGACCAAGGTTAGATGAACAGGGAGTAAAATCCCGTGTTAAATGTCAGGCACAAAGAGAAATGACGAAACAAAAGTGGTGTGTGTGTGTGTGTGTGAACCACAAGAGGCACCCGGTGCTGGTTATGCGGTCAGAGACAGTGACGGGCTGCCCTCCTTCCTCGTGCCGGCCGGGGCCGCCCAGGAGGACTTACACACCAGGAGCCGGGAGCACTGAGCCGCGGAGCCAGCCAGCTGCAGCCCTACGAAAACAAAGTGCAGGGTTGCTTGCAGAGCGAAGGGTCCTTTCTGTCCAGCTCGCCCAGAACATCCATCTCAGTCCTCTGCCAGCATCTCAGCGGAACAACCCTCCCGGTGCGGTGTGGCCGAACGGGGAAGCAGAGGCACGTGGCGGGCAGCAATAGAAACTCTGAATTCCGCCCTCGCCTCTGTGGGTGAAAGCTCATGACCACCGTCCCCAGGGGGCCAGAGGGTCTCTGAAGCCTCAAACCACCCAGCGCAGGCAGCTGCTTCGGAAAGGCTGTCACGTTCACGGGATGACCCAGAAGCCAGGTCTGAGCCCCCCGCGCGCACCTCATCTCCCCATGTGAGATACTGGACAGGACGTCATGGGATAAAGAAAGTAAACTGCCAACTCTACAGCTTTTCTTTCTCCCCGTGGGGCCAGAAGGAGAAGCTCTGGGTAGTTCCACCTGCGAGCAGGCCTTCTGCAGCGTCCAGATGAAACGATGGTGACAGTGATGAAAGGGGAAGCTCAGATTTGCCGTGTGGAGGAAGGAGGAGACAGCCGTGTGCACGCACACTGGAACGCGGGCACGCCCGTCCGAGAGGGACTGGAGGGGACCACCCGAGGCTGTGCCGCCACCCTGAGGCAGAGCCTGGGGGCACTGGCAGCCACTGCCCGGTGCCAGGCCGCTTCCAGCAAACACAGACGGCAGAAGAACCTTGTCTTCCCAGGCTCCAGTGTCCTTCAGAAATTGTTTCTCAAACTACAGACTGGGTTCCTCAGAAAAATAAATGAATTCTTCGGGTACTGAAGATCCTCGCACCTACCCCTCTGTGCCGGGGTGGAAGCGGCCCCGTGATGACCATGGCTCTGTCATGGGACCTGTCCCACATGGCCACCGCCACCAGGCAGGTCTGGGGGCTGCCCCAATAGCCGCTTGTGAGCAAGTCGTTCTCTAGTTCCTCAGCCCCTGAAGTCATCTCCAGCCCTCTCCCGCCACCAGCACAGACGCCCTTCCCACAGACTGCAGATGACAAACCAGAACATCTGTTTCCATAGCGAAAGCTACCTTGGCAACGAAATGAGCCGAGAATCTAATTCTTCCAAGTCCTCAGCTCGTCGGCCCCTCGCCCACCCCCCAGGCAGCGATCCGCCGCTTCCAGGAGCAGGTGGCTCTGTCAGGACTGCTGGGGTTCGGGGCACATGTGACCCAGGGACCCCCGCCGACAGCCGGCCACCCCGGGAGTTGGTGGGGTTGGGGGGGGCAGACCGAGCAGGGAAGAAAACGCGGCACCTTCCGTTACCTTCACGTAGGACTTCTCCGTGTCCATCAGCTCCTGGATGACTTTTCGGAGGCGATCTGCATCGGAGAGGTGACGAGCCAGCGGCCGCGGAGGTGGGTCCCGAGTCCCCCTCGGCCCTTCCATGCTGTCGCTCTGCACGTCGCTGAAGCTCCTACACAGCGCGATCTGTCCTGCACTCTGAGAGGGGGCGAGACGGGGACAGTCATGGACGGGACACGCTCCGTGATGACCGGCTTCCCAGCAAGCATGCAGACAGCGTTTATCTCTGCCCAGGGCTCTCTGGGCGACCTCACAGGGACAAACGTCTAGGGCAAATAGTCTCCTTCATCTCAAACAAGCCTGGCTATCATTCCAGAACATGGTAGTAAAGAGAGGAGCTCAGTGTTGACACAGGATGCTTTTTTGTTGTCCTAGTAGCTGTCTGACAGATGGCTCTTTCGTACTGACCCTAGCAAACAAGGCACAGGACTAGCCGTCACTGTAACAGACTTGAGGGTGTTCTAAAACCAAGCTGGTGGCTTTCTAAGAGCACGGTGGGGAGCCTAGGGAACGGCGTGACACAGCAAGGACTTTAGGATGGCTTGGCCACAAGACCCCGCAGCGCTGCCCTCAAATCCAACCGTGAGCCCCGCGCTCTCACACCAAGTAGCAGAAAACGAATCAAAAGGTCAGAGGTGCTGCATGTGCTGGGGACAGGTGTGAAGGTAGGGACCTCCCCTACCCTGTGGGTTGCGCAGCCCCCCTCCCCAGAAGGGCCCAGAGGGGTGCAGGTGATACAGCAAAACCCAGCGAGTGCCAGAGAAGAGGGATGAACCGGCTTTGTGGGAACCTTTCTGATGAGAGTGGGAATGGAATCATCCAGACTGAGGGACAAGACGGGTGACTGTCAGTCCCCCCGACAGTGCAGGTTCCTACTTGAATTTAAGCACAATAAAGAAAAAGCCTTCTCAAGGGGAGCCCGTCTATATGGTCCTGCCTAGGCCGGGGCGTTGAGGTCTCAAATGTGTCTCCTCCCATTGTTTCCACAGTGCCTGCAATGCCATTGGATTACACTCCGTGTCTTCTCCCCGCTCTTTCTCCTTTCGTCTCACCCTCATCCAAGCTCCAGCCCATCCTACCACCCACCGGTGTGGAAGCCTGTCCAGGGCAGGGGCCTTTAACTGGCACTGCCCTGGGTGCCCAGCTCAGTGGCCAGGGCCCAGCCGACGCGCGCTCTGCTCGCCTCCCCACACTGCCATTGTCCCAAGAGACAAAGCAGCATGCCCAGTACCAGTGACTACCCGCCATCCGGCTTCGGCCACCATCCCTTAGCTGAAAGTCTCCCTTCTTCAGTTTAAGTGCCTTCAGCCCTGACCTCTCGCACTCTGGCTGGGGTCAAAAGCTCAACTGGGCACAACCACCTCTTAATGCTCCATTCACTTTCCTGGGGACGTTTCAGAGCACGAACAGCTCACGTGAGTGTGAGGGTCGACCCCAGCGGCCTGAGGCACCCCTGCTACAAACGCTGACACCTGCCAAATGAGAGTGTTGACACAAAACCGGGATGCCCTTGCCCTCCCTTCTTGCCTCCCTCCCTGCCCTACCGTCCACACTGATCTTCTGGCCAGTCTTTTAATTCAGTGGGTCTCAACTGGGGGCCGCCTCTGTCTCCGGAAAGAACACCGGTCCTGCATGAGCAGCCAGTACCCTTGCCAAGGTGAGAAGCACCGAAGCACAGCCCAGGGCTCACCGGAAGCCAACCCGGGCTCGTGTGGAGCCAACCAGAGAGGAAGAGTCCATAAACCAACGGGAGCCACTCCGCGGTGCGCAGGAGGCTTCGGGAAGAGGAGCGCTGACACGGCCCTGGAAAGCACACGTGTTCCAAGGGAGAACCACAAAATGAGCCAGAAGGACAAGGGGAATGAGCACTGTAATACAGAGCCCGACTCAGGAGAGTGAAAGTGAGGCTCCTTTCCCAGCCAGATGTCTGTGACCAGAACGCCCAGACTCTGGGCTCTTGAAATATCATTATTTCTCTCGTTTTCACATAAATCTTGGTGCAGAAGTTAGATCAACCACATTAACAGGCACTAAGTATCCAACTAGACACTGACCTATATATATACAATACAAAATAATTTACTTCCCAAACAGTTCAAAGCATGTGTAAGTACTAATAATTCTCCTTTGATACATGCGTTATCCACAGTTTTATTAACTGTGAACACAAGCGTTTTTCTGGTAACGCCCGTCAGAAGACATTCATTCTGGGTAAACTTATACAAAAAAAAAAAAAAAAAAGAAAGAAAGAAAAAGAAAACAGATGTGGATCTTAAGGCACCAATCAAAATGCATCTTGATTTATCAAAATGTCTCACTTCATGTTTCAGACAACCAAATCTTAGGACTCATGCCCTGAAAGCCTAATGACAGAAAAAGTCAAATGGAACAGGGAAGCCAAAAGGCGGCTGTTCTCCCCCCGGGGCTGTAAGCATCATGGAGGAGCAGCACTAGGGCACACAACCAGACCACTCCAAACCCTGCGCTCCTCCTTTCCAGTGGCTCTTAAACCCGGCCGCATATTACGCACTTCTGCGAGCTTTAAAAAAATACCCAAGGCTGGACCGACTCACTCAGACTCTGTGGGGGGCCCAAGCTATGATTATTTTTTCAAAGCATCCCACGTGAGACTGGCTGCTGCTCTACCCAGCATTGCAGCGAGCAGCCTCGACTTCGGCTTCCCAGGAGTAGCGCTGCCTACGGCCTGATCATGCTGCCCCATGGTCTACAGAGAAAGACAGCCACGTAAAAGGTATGTGGCCTGAGCTCGTGGGACAGAGGAAATAGACGGAATCATACCCATGGCCCTGGTAGTCTGGGTCCGGCCCTCCACGAACTGAGCTAAACCACCCAGATAATACTACTACTGAGACTCCCAAACTCACTTAATTGGAAATCTCTATGCTGGTATTTGCACCACAAGCTCAGACAATGTAATTTTGCAATTCTGAAAAATAACAGCTTCTAGGGCTATAGAATCTATATTAAGCTCACATATACTGCACAAAATAAGATCCAACAAAATGCACCATAAGTTAATGGCAGCTGGTGAGCTTACAGCTTTGCCTTGCTGGGATGTCAAAAATCACACCTAACAATGCAGTGTTAAAATAACGAGACTTTAAAAATACAGTATCTTGCCATTTTAGAAAATCTGAATTCATTTGAAGAACACTTCTGGTAAGATTAACTGGGAAAAGTGAAGGTTCGTGGAGATTGTGAGAGCAAACGCACTTTTTAACGTGCCATGATCAAGTGCTCAGATGCGACAAAGTCACCTTTCTCAGGCGGAGCAGTTTAGCTACTGTCTGGGGGAGGTGGTGACGGTTACTTGGAATCAGGAGGCAGGAACTCTAAAAGAAGACTAATTCTAAAGGTGTTCTTACATCGCACCCCCAAGACTCGCCTGTGTGGTTACATTTCAGTTTCTCTATTCGTAGTGACAGTCGCCCGCACCAGCTGTTAAAGGTAGAATTCTGGGGGACGCCTGGGTGGCTCAGTTGGTTAAGCGGCTGCCTTCAGCTCAGGTCATGATCCCAGGGTCCTGGGATCGAGTCCGCATCAGGCTCCTTGCTCAGCGGGGAGCCTGCTTCTCTGCCTCTGCCCTTCCCCCTGCTTATACACTCTCTCTAGCAAATAAATAAAATCTTTAAAAAAAAAAAATAGAATTCTGGGTGTGTCTGATGAACAATTTCTAGTAACAGTGACTACTTTGGTTGGCCCGTTTTCAAACCCAACAGTGATGGGGGTGAAAAGCACAGGCAAGGTGCAGAGGACCAGCATTCTCTCCCAGCCCTGCCCCCCGTCCTCCACACGATCCTGGGTGAGGCTCATTTCCGAGTCGACTTCCTTATTGCTGGAAGAGAAGTGGCATTACCTATCCCATCAAGTCACCCCTTGAACTGCCAACGAGGTCCTAGAGAAAAGGGAGCTCACACTTGCTGAGTCCCTGCTGGATGCCAGACAGACATAGCTGGCAAGGGTCCTCCCCGACCCGCCGGCGCGCAATCCTTATTGGGACTGAGACGACACACATGAGGAGTCAAGAGATGAGGGGTGAGGGACTGGGACAGCACAGGACCGGCTCCTGGCTAGCTCTCTGCAGGGTGCCCGCCCCTCCAGGATACCTCCTGGGCCTCTGCCCCTGAGGTTGTGGCTTCCTGGCCCCCGCAGGCTGCCTCTGCTCGGAGAACACCGCAGCTCCCACACAGCCACAGACGACCTCCACGTCTTTTAGGCACCACGTCCCCCCCCAACCCCACTGCGGGATGCTGCTTATAAAGCAACAGACAGATGTTTACAAGTCAGGGCTGGGGGCCCATCTGGATTCGGAAGCCCAGCAGCGTGTGCCTCTGCAGGAGAAGGAACGCCCCCACCTCAGACGCACATCGAAGCTTCCTGGCTTCCAGTCTGTGGGCTCAGTGCTAGGAATCGTGGGCTCACTGTGGGCTTCATTTTTTATAGGCGAGCGCGAAACAAGTGTTTTCTTTATGGCTTCCTTTTAAAACTTAAATGAAGAAACAGTTGTCCCTAAAACTATGGTGTAAGGATACAGCAGTGATAGTGACCAAAACACATTTTTGTCAGGTTTTGAGCTTACACCAAGGCTGATCCCGGCTTGGAAATGATTTGATCTTATTTACAGCCGAGGAACTCCCTGAAGACCTGGGCATGAAGGTGCTTAAGTACTCTCGCCACACACACACACGTAACTGTGCAAGGCGACGGGTGTGTCGTTAACTTGACCGTGATAATGACGGCTCAGTGTCTGTGCACAGCAAATCATCAAGTGGTACACTTTAAAGATAGTTTTATCAACCATACCTTGAAAAAACTGGGAGAGAAAAGGTATCCGAAAGTTACTTTTGGTTTCGGTGTTTTCAATGTGCGGCTAAGGAGGCCTGCTGCTCCCTTAAACTGGGGAAGAAACGTGTCTCCGCTCCAGGCGCCTCACCTCCCAGCAGCGGCAACAACGCAGCGAAGGATGCTCCGGCGCCTTGCCCTGGGTCTTTCGGGAGGAACGCAGGGGCAGAGCCCGAGTGCCCCTTCTGACCTCGACTCAGTGCAATGCTCTTGCACAGAAAGGTGTCGTGCCCCCTTCCTCCTGGTTTCAGATTAATAAAATCTCATCCCCTGGG